AAAAAAAAAAAAAAAAAGAAAGAAAGAATTCTAACTCTGTGTACATACTTTAGAGACAGGGATATTTATTTGAAAACCTCTTTTGTTCATATTTTATTTATTCATTAAAACAAAAAGATGTAAAAAAAAAAAACATAAAACAAAAAGATGTAGTAAACACCTTATAGGCCGTGCATTGTGCTGTGCACTGATGCTATTCTCCTTATGCATTCACTGCTAATAAAGTGTTATGGCCTATACCACTAAGACCCTATTTTAGCAATACTACAGTGTAACTTCCTTATATTATTTGTACATAAAAATGTTACTTGATACTTGATTCAATGAATAATTTTTCAAATGCTTCTCTTTTTTTGTTTGTTTGTTTGTTTGTTTTTTGGTGGTGGTGGTGCTAATGAGGATTTAAACTCAGGGAGTGTTCAGTTACATTCCCAGCCCATTTTATTTTTTTATGAGACATGGTCTTGCTAATTTGCTCATGTTTGCCTTGAACTTGGCGGCTCTTCTGCCTCAGCCTCCTGAGCAGCTAGGATGGCAGGCATTCTCCATCATGGCCAGCTAACCAGTAAATTTAATACTTAAGTCATACACATAAAATGTTATAATTTAAGAACTTATTAAATCAGTGGCCATGGATTTAGCTCAGTGGTTCCGCCATCTGCCTTACCAAGGGCAAGGTCCTGAATTCGATCCCTGGTACCAGAAAAGGGGAAAAAACCATATTAATCAAAGGGATCAAGATTTCTTACATGAAGGACAAAGACTTAGGGGCTCCTTGCTGAATTTCACTAAAACTTTGGCAATATTTAAACTTTAAGGGCTTTTGCCAATTTCATTTTGTTTTGCAGTACTAGGGATTGAACCCAAGCTCTTCACCCTGAGCTACATCCCCAGCCCTTTTTGTTTATTTTTGTTAACTTTTTAGCCAGGGTCTCACTAAGTTGTCCAGGCTGAGCTCAAACTCATGATCCCGCTGCCTCAGCCTCCCAAGTGCTGGTATTACAGGTGTGTACCACATCTGGCTTTTGCCAATGCTGTTAAAGCAAAAGGTCTAAACTGCTATGCAGACTAACAGGCCATTTGCTGCTGAGTACTTAGTGTCTGGCACAGTTTAATAAATGCTTACTAAATACAAGCATGATAGTAGGTATGCCGGTGCATGCCTGAAATCCCAACACTCAGAAGGCTGAGGAAGGAGGGTCACCACGAGTTCCAGGCTAGCCTGGTAGACCTATACATAGTGAGACCCTGTCAAAAAACAAAAATACAAACATGAGTATGGACCAGTTTTATTAAATGGTAGGAAGGGAATAAGATGTGGTATGGAGCTTTTCATAATTTGTCATGAAACATAATCTGAAATTTCTAACCTAACTAACTTCACTTTTTTGAGAGAGTGTGGACAAAATGAGAAATGTCCAGGGAGAAGAAAATGGGTTAACATTCTTTGTCCTTTATGAAACTTGAGGGTTTTTGTTGTTGTGTATTGTTATTCTTGTTTTTTTCCTTTAGCCCAGGAGTTCTGTTTCCAAAGAAAGAGCCAGATAATTCTAAAGATGAGGATGAAGATGAAGATGAAGATGAGGATGAGTCATCAGAAGAAGACTCTGAGGATGAAGAGCCGCCACCTAAGCAAAGGTGTGGATGTGTGGAAAACTCTCGCTGGGCAGGGTAATAAATGTTTTAGACCAGCTTGGTAGTGCACATATATTATCCTAGCTGCTTGATAGGCTGAGACAAGAGAATTGCAAGTTGTGAGGCCAGCCTGAGCGTTTTAGCAAGACCCTGTCGCAACATAAAAGAATAAAATGTGGATATAGTTCAGTAGTACTTGGTTCAATCCTCAATTTAAAAAAAAAAAAAATACTTGGAGCATAAAATGATACTGATGCTTGCAGGTTCTGAAGGCAGAAAAGTGTTTGCTCCTCAGCCTCTTTGTGTAACATTTGAATTTATCCTGTGTTGAAAACTTGGGGGCTCTGAGCTTGAAATTTGAAGCAAATTGAATACATAATGTACTCTTTGGTTATACCTGTACCTGTCCATAGTTAAAGAAAAATACTTCCATATTTTCCTAGGAAAAATATAGAATTATGGGTAGATTCTCATGAATCAATTGAATTATTATGCAATTTTAATGAACACTAGTGAAAAAACTAAGTCATGTTCCTATTTACATAGGTGAGATCTATGTATGCCATTTCTCTGTAGAAAAGCATCTGATTGTCCTGACAAAGTCTTGCATGTGCTGACTGCCTGCCTTTGTTTTGTTTTGTTTTCACAGGTTGCAAAAGAAGACTCCAGCCAAGTCCCAAAGGAAAGTGGCACCTATGAAGCAGAAAGGGTCCAGGCCTGCACCTAAAGTCCCAGCCGCCCAACGGGGAAAAGCTAGGCCCCTGCCCAAGAAAGCCCCTCCTAAGGCCAAAACTCCTGCCAAGAAAGCCAGACCCTCACCCTCAGTTGTCAAGAAACCTAGTGGTAGTTCTTCAAAGAAGCCTGCAGCCAGTGTGAGAAAGGAAGTGAAATTACCTGGCAAGGGTAAAACCACCATGAGGAAGTCTTTCAAAACAAAAAAGTAAATTTTGTAGCAAGAAAGGGTATCATGATAAAATTCAAAATCTTATTTTATATGGTCAGTGTGCATTTGTTTTTAGTTTTGATGCTTACAAAGTTTCCTTTCTTCCATATGAACGTTGTGGGGAGGGAATATAATAAACCAATTTAGGCATTTGTTATCTTTAGGTGCTGTTTTTGGTGCCTACCCCTTCCCCGATCATTTTAATTTCTGCAATAATCTGGGAGACTCAAAGTATATAATCTATACTTGTCTTTTTTGTCCCTCCTACCCTGACCTCTTTTTTTTTATGGTGAGCTTTGGTCCCCATCATCTGTCCATCCCCCACACCATCTCACCCCTCTCTCCTCCTCCTGGTTTTACCTAAACAGTTGTAAAGATTTTTATATTTTTAGAATGCATCAAGAGCAGGATGCTGGTCAGGTGTGGGAAGTAAAACCCTCCCCTGCTCTTTTTTTTTTTTTTTTTTTTAATAGTAACTTTGGTCCCCATGTTCCGTCCATCCCCACACACACACCTTTCCTCCCTGTCTTCTCCTGGTTTTTACCTAAACAGTTATGTAAAGATTTTTCTATTTTTAGAATGCATCAAGAACAGGATGCTGGTCGGGTGCTGGAAGAAAAAAGGAAGCAGTGTAGCACTGACTGGTAAAACCTCCTGCCTGGAGACTTCAGTAAGAGCTGTAATAATCTTATTTATAAAAGTTACTCCACTAACCCTCTCTCTCCAACTATAAACAGAGACAACTTTGGAAATAAGCCTAAAACAGTGTAATCACATTTGTTTCTGAAGATGCACGACTCCTTTGGGCCACTTTCCACACTGACCACCCTGCAGGAAGTGTTCACTGGTCCAGAGCATTGCATTCCCTTCACAGCAAGCACAAGTTCTTTACACCACTTGGTTCTGACTGCGGGGGAAACATAGAAATATATTGAGTCCAATTTCTAGTGTCACCTGTGTTACCAAAAATCAAAACATACAAAATCTTGATCAGATGTTTAAGTATATTTTTTAATATTTGAAGCATGAGTTGTCACTTACTATTTGCCTTTTTTTAATGAGGAAATGTTGGAGAAATCCAAATGTAGAAATGTTAAGTGGAAAAACATACAGTTAGCTTAAATAAAATAGATTCCAGATTCATCTGTGGAATTTTTCCCCTTCCTTTCTTTCCATGGCACTTTTGATATCAAGCAATTGGCTTCTTTTTTGAGATATTTTAAAGAAAAAGAAAAAGCATATGAAGCCCTACTACCTAACCCATTTTTATTTGTATTTGTTTTAGTATTGTGAAGTTGTGTTAAAATAGTACTAGCTTTCTACTTGAGAAATACCAATTTCTGGTTACCATTTCTCTTCCCTGTGGCACTTGACATTTTAATTGTCTTAAACTCCTTGGCATACATCTTCTGGCCCCCTGAGGGCTGCCAGAGGCAAAAGGTGTTTGTTTTATATTCATTCCACTTGCAAAGTCTGCTGGGATCCCATCTACAACTTGAGTGTGGCTCGGAAATGGACTTGAGAAGATTGGCTTGAGTTAGAGCATAATCGTGTGTGATCCCATCATGCACTCATTGGAATTTGTGTTGCATGTAAGGCAATCTTTCCTGTTGTAAATCTTCCTTTTTTATGTACATATATTTTGAAAAATATGAATAAACATAAAATTTTAAAAGCTGCTGAATTGTAGCTTATATTTAAAAGTTTCTGGTATATTCTTAGAAGTAACTGAGTGCTGCCCTTAGAGTCTTTTCTATTCCTGCCTGTGTACATCACTTTCCTTTTTAAGTACATGCTCTAGTTTATTTACTTTTGAATTTATATTGATGGTAAATGTTTTTAGATATGTTGAATACTAATTACTCAGATTTCTAAAAATCATTTTGTATTAGTTATTTTTAAGGTTGGAGTTCAGTCCTTTGTATTCAGTCAATGTTTAATATTTAAATAAATCTTTGGACTGGGAAAAAATTTACAACAATGCAAAAGAAAACAAATTATTGAGATTTAGGATTAAACGCAGGGAGTGCCAAGCTACATCCCCAGCCCTTCTTATGTTGAGACAGAGTGTCACTAGCTTGAAACCTGGGATCTTCCTGCCTCAGCCTCATGAGTAGTTGGGCTTTTAGGTGTGTAGCACCACACCTTACTTTCTAGAAAGTACTGTAAGTCTAATTTGTGGTACTTTTGTGTAGGTAACAATACTTAATATTATGGTTGTTAAGTACCTGTGCTATCAGTTCTCTACTCTTCTACAATCAAAACTTGGGTGATTTTTGACTTTTTGTTTTATGATACTGCTTTTAAAAGATTTATTGAGCCAGATGTGGCAGTGCACACCTGTAATTCCAGCATTCTGGGAGGCTGAGGCAGGAGTCACAAATCAAGGTCAGCCTGGGCAACTTAACTTAGCAAGATCCTCTGTCAAAATTTAAAAGTCTGGGGCTGAAGCCCAGTGTAAAGTCCCAAGTTCTTCTGCTAGTAGCACAAAATAAATAAAATTACTGAATAATCAGCTGGTAACTATACACTACCATAGAACAATTTAAGTGTAGAGTCAGCAGCTTTCATTACTTAAGGTCGCTTCCAACTCTGACATCCTACGAATTTTACAAACCCAAGAGGTAATCCAGCAGTCCAGCATGGATCATTAGCTTCAGGACTCAGTTGGTGGCCTTTAGTGAACTTCATCACATTGGAACTACCTATAGGCTACCACCTCTCTGTGTGTATATGGGACAGGGGAACTGGAGGTTGAACTTAAAATTCTGTTGCCTCGGCCTTACAAGCTGTCTTTGGTAAAAAAAAAAAAATGTCAGAAAGTGCTGGGGGAGAGATTGTTGGTTTCTTAACCTACAACAAGAGAAAGGATGCCATTGCTAAGAAACTTAAAGGACAAAAGTGAAAATTAGAGGACAAAGAGCTGGGGATTTAGCTCAGTGGTGTCCCCGCCTGCCTCACAAACACAGGTCCAAAGTCTACCCCCGCCCCCCAAAAAAGTACAAAAACATCCAACACAGATGGAACTTGATCTTAACTATTCACATACATGTGAATAGATAATGGCAGCTCCTACTTTTGAGAAGGTCCTTCGGCAAGTCCTGTAACCAACCTGAGCAGGACATTGTTTCCCAGATGAGGGACCCACCCTACAGGTAGCCTTGTCTTCTTCAGGTGGCCACGCTTCTGCTAAGAGTGGTTGTAGGGCTCAACTTGAAAGGTCATTTACCCCGCGTGAAACAGCCACACGTCTTAGCACTCTGGAGTTTAGGGACATTTTTTTTTTCCTCAATGGGTTTATTGGTACATTTTAGGTATACAGTACAGTTAACATTCATCGTTGGGATCTTATACCTTTACATGTCAAGTCTTGTTTCTCATCTTTTCCCTTTGTCCCTGCCCTCCCTTCAGTCTCTACTCCCCTCCCCATTTACAAACATTTTATTTCCATTTTCTCATTTTCTCCTATTTTTTTCCTTTCCCTTATTACCTCTCCCCTACACTTCCCACTTTCCCTATACCTTAAGCCCTTTTCTTCCTATTTCACATTGTCAATTTTCTCATTAAGATCTTATGTACTATTATAGTTTATTCATACCAGAGAAACTATTCAGTATTTACACGTGTGATTTAGTTATTTCACTTAGGAGTATGTCACATTCAGGGACATTTCTCAGGACAAGCCAGGCAGTCTATGCTACTTCTGTTTAATCCACCCATTGAGCCAAGGCCATTGTTTTGTTAAATGTGTCATGCTTTCTCCATGTCCCCATGAGATGGGTGGGACTGGAATTTTGATCGAGGAATTAGATATTGAGGATATGTATTGGGAGGGGTGGTATCAGAGTCAGTGAGGCAAAGTTGGAAGGCCCAGATATAAATTCAGGGTCCACAGAGGCTGGCAGAGTGTCAGAGTGCACAGTGAGGGTCAGGGCCATGACATAGCTCAGGTGTTATAATGCCAATGAGTTGGCAGCTCGGAACTATGGTCATGGTTGCCAGGGAGGGGTGGATTGTGGGAACTGTGGAGATAGCAGCACAGAATAGGGCCTGAGTGTCATGCGCATCCGTTTAGGCTGGTCTGCTCAAAAACACGAGAGGAGGCTCTGAGGAAACAGGATTTTGTCTCTCAGTCCTGGTGGCCCAGGGTGGAGGGCATCAACAACCTTCATGACCACATCCCAGAAGTAAGCAGGTGAGTGGACACTCTGTCTTTTACCTTTTTGTATCGTTTTAAGAGATCCAGTCACAGTAGCAGCCAGTGTGCCTGTGTCAGCGGTTTTCAAGTACAGCACAGTTTTACCGAACTATTTCACCCGACTATCGGACTGTTGTCACCCTGCATCTCCAGACTTTCTCGCCATCCTTCCAAAGGGGAAGCTCTGTGGCCTAAAACAGTCTCCTGAGTCTCCTCAGTGGCCTTGGGAACACTTTTTCTCCCATCAGTTTTTGGTGCTCACACTCCAAAGATGGCATGAATGGCATCCTACGGGCCTGGTCCTGGTCTGCCTGGGGTGTCCTTCACTCTGGAGAAAATGGTCTTCCTCAGGCCCTCTTGCAGCCCTTGACAGAGTCCTGTGCTTGTTAAGGACCAATATCTTGGGTAGACTTTAGTTTCTGAAACAGTACTCCTTTTCTTCCCTCCCGCTTCTCAGAGATGCCCCTTCCTGGTTTCCTACTTTTCCCAGGCCACCAAGCTCACACTGTGGGCTCCCCCCATTCTTTGGATCTCTAACAAATTCCCAGTCCATTTGCCATGTGGAAGCAATGTGTTTAGGGTAGGCCCCTGTGCCCTTTGAGCCCCTGCAAAACGGGTGCCGGTGGAACTCTCATTCTTTCCTCTCATCCATAAGTCCCTACTGCACTGGCTTCATCCTATTCACATCCCTGGTCCTCATTTTCTGGCTTTTTCCTTAGATGGCTTTCCACAGTACTATACTTCACCTCCCATGTCTGCCATTTCCTGCCTGTCCATTAGACAGAGGATGAAGCCATCAGATACCACTGCTGAAATGAAATTTGGCCTTAGCTAAATTGGGAACAGTGCAGGATTTGAAGTACCGCCCTATGGGAACTTATGAATCAGGTTCTGGGTTAGCGTTAGAGTTAGGATTGGTGAGCGAGATACGGAAGGAATTCATGTACCAGATAATTTGCATGTGAGAGGGAAGGTGAGGGCAGTGACTTTTGAAGGTGGGATGTACTGTATGTTTCCGAGGACCTGAACATTGCGGCCTGGATATAGTGGGTAGTGATTGGACATGGAGTAGGGTTAGAACT